CGATCCTGGGGTTTTGGGATCGAGCCCCACGTCTGGCTCCCTGCTCAGCGGCGAGCCTGCTTCTCCCTCTCCCTCTGCCTGCCACTCTGCCTACTTGTGTTCTCTATCTCTCTGTCAAATAAATAAATAAAATCTTTAAAAAAAAAAAAGAATTACGGATAGCAGACACCTGTCGGACAGACCCTCCCGCCCAGGCAGGCCCTCGGGAGGAGCGAGAGGCCAGAAGGTGCGCACTGGCGGCGCAGGGAGGGCGGCAGGGTGGGTGCCACGAGGCCGAGTGGCTGGCGGCCAAAGCTCAGGTCACTGGATTATGAAATCCGGCCTCTGGCAGCAGGACTTTTTCAAGGTTAGGTTCCTGGGAACGCGGGAGGCGGACGCGGGGCAGGGAGGCGGCGGGTGGGGCGGGGAGCGTTGGAGACCCGCCGCCTGGCCCAGGCCGACCTCCGCGAAGGGCGCTGCGGCCGGGGAGGAGGAGGGAAGGGCGTGCGCGGAGGGAACGGGAGGCGTCGCCCCGCCGCGCCGGAATCTGGCCGGTGCGGGGCCGTGGGACCTGTAGGGGAAGGCAGTAGGGGCGACCCGCGAGCAGCCGCGCCTATGGGCCGCGCAGACCCGGCCCGGAGCGTCCCTGGCCGCGCCGCTCAAGGCTCGAGCTTCCCGGGCGCGACTCGGCTGCCGGTGCAGGGCTAGCGGGCTGGGGGCGCAGGGCTGGGCGGGCGGGGAGCCGAGGCCCCGGGGGCGCGGGGGCGCACGGCCGCCCGCCGCCTGCAGGGGGCCCGCGCGGGGTGTCAGCGCCCGGAGGCGCCTAGGCCTCGGGGCGCGGGGCCCAGACCCGGGGACGCGAGCCCAGGCCTGGGGCTGATTGTGATTGGGTAAGTCTTGATCTGGCAAGGGAGGTAGGATGAACTTTCTGTCGTGTCATATTTTTGTGCCATGTGTGTGATTTTTTCCCCCCCTGGCTGAAAAGCTGGAATTCATCTGGTCTGTTTCCCCGCATCCATTCATGAAATCTCTCGTGCTGACATCATCCCGCTTCCCCAAGCGAAGTTGCTCACTTGCACTGAGAAGCATCCGTCGCGTCTGAGATGACAGATTCTCCATCAGTGCCGAGAGCAGCAGTTGCTTCTAGGATGTGCTTGTATTAAGTCAGGGCGGCGCTGAGTGTTTTTTATGGGAGGAAGGGCTTCGTGAGAGCCAGTCCACCCAGAAAACCATTCTGCATTTCAGCCCATGCAGCATACAAGTCTTCATTTCAGGCAATCCTTTTAAGCAGAAATAAAAAATTTTGGAAGCTTCGATCACTGTTTAATACTGTCTACAAGGCAAAGTAGCAGAGGTTTGTGGGCTATCAAGAGGCAAGTTTTAAAAAGTAAAAATAGATCCTAGAGTCATTACCTTGACACTGGAAATGAGTGACTCCTAGAGATTGGGACTCAGCCTTCACTTTGACGCACTGACAAATTAGGGCCATATAGTTCAGTGGGTGCACTTCAGTCTGCCCTAAAACCCAGGTCCTGTTTCCAAATGAACAGCCTTAAATGTACCCATTAGCAGTTTTTTAACATCTCTAAAATTTAAGCAGTATAGACAAGAACTAGTGTAAAACTTAAATGTCTATGTATAATGTAAAAAAAGCTTAATAGACATTCCACCACTTTCAAGTTTTAAGATATTTCTAGGACACATCCTGTAAACCCTGTACACTTTTTTAGACTGCATCATTTATGTAGGAATTGATAGTTCACAGGGAATTAAAAATGTTCAGTGTTATGCATGAAGTCACAGTACAATGGTTAGGGGAGAGAAATCAAAGATTCAAAGCAAAACATAAAAAGAAAAAACAAAAGGCAAATTGTATAGCTTCTGTTTTTGGTTAACAATGTCAGTAATTTGGGGTCCCTGGAGAGACATGCAGGTGGCCTGGGTCCAGAGAGCAGCTCCATCCCTATCTTCTTGGTGACCTTGGGTAGTCATTGCATTAATAGGCTCAAGTTCCTCTTCAGAATTCCTCTGAACTCTGTGGTCAAATGAACTCTCAAGTTCAAGAAGTTCCACAGAAATAGACTTTTGAAGTAGATGAGACAGGAAGAGCAGGGGAGAAAAAAGTTAGAGAAATAGTATGGAAGTAGATGGTGGTTGAGGGCATCCATTTTACAGTAATTCCTCCCCCTGGACCCCCCCTCCCACCCCTGCATCTTGAAGATCTGTCATCAGCTCCACTTTGAAGTGAGTAGTAATGCCATCTGGGAAAGGCTATGGTGTTGTATGAAGAGAGGAAGTAGTTCTTTCATTCTGTAAATCATTTTCTTAGGTTGGAAAGACTCCCTCCTCTCCTACCCACCCCCCAAAAAAGATGAATTTTCTGGAGGAAGAGATGATTGTTCATTGGAAACAAAACAAACAGGCATGTGTCTGCTTAGTGAATTTTGTTTTCCAGTCTCACAAAAGGCAGAGGAGGAGCCGAAAGCAAGAACCGATTTCATCCAACCATTCAGTTGTAAAAGTCACTTTTGGAGATAGATGTGAGTTATTCCAAGAGCTGTGAGTTTTCTGTCTTTATAAAGGATAAACAAATCTCCAGACATGTCTTGAACTAGAAGAGTGTGTTTGTGTCTGGTCACAATGTAATCTTTTGTAGTAAGCATGAATTTACAGAGTAAAAACATGTTCTTTGTTTGGCTCACTAATTTAATCTTTACCTATTAATTCTTTCAGTGAACGTGGAGCATCTCTATGTGACAGGCATTCTTTTAGGTGCTGCTGATAAAAAAAATAAATAAAGTGTCAAAATCATCCCAATAAAAAGCTGAGGGCCGGAAAGAGATCTATATAGTACGAAATGCTGCAGGAGGTACAAAGAAACAGCTCAGTGTTTTTATTGAGTGGCTCGTGATAATGATGATAGCAGTCAACAAGAGCAGCCTGATTGACCCAGCACTGATTATGAAAACACTTTACATACTTTAAGTTAGGTCTCACAACAACTGTAGGAAAATGTTTACGGTATTGTCACTGTTTTATAGATGTGTGTATTGGTTCCAGGAGAGGAGAAGCAACTTGCTTAGAGTGCACAGCCTATCAGGGGTAGAGCAGGATTCTAATCTACCTTTGTTATTCTTATACAGATTATTTTTTTAAAGATTTTGTTTATTTATTTGACAGAGAGAGAGAGTGCGCGCGCACACAAGTAGGCAGAGCAGTAGGCAGAGGGAGAGGGAGAAGCGGGCTCCCCTCTGAGCAGAGAGCTCGATGCTGAATTCGATCCCAGGACCCCGGGATCATGACCTGAGCCAAAGGTTTAACCGACTGAGCCACCCAGGTGCCCCTCTTATGCAGATTATTATGAAGGAACATATTTTATTTTAATTCACCACCCTGAGGTTTAAAATTATCTCTCAGCAAGAAGCAGATTAACTCACACACGCTAGCATTTATTTCTTAAAGCTCAAAGCAGCTCTTTTTGATGTAATTTTTAGTTGAATGTCTCTTTTTTCATCATAAGTATTTTTATGTTTATTTAAAGAGTTATTGAGTCACATGGAAATGATAAATAATTGATGGTTTTGAAGCAACTGAACAAGGCAAAAGGTAAAGCAGTTTATTAGCATAAAAGCTTGTCCTGTATTCTTTTCTCTTAGCACGTTTATTCTCAGAACTGCTTGATTGTACTTTAGACATATGAGCAATAAGGAGGGAAAAAATTTTTACAATTCTGTTCTTCTCTCATACAAGACATACGTATGGAAGGCAGAGGCTCTTGCTAACCTCTGTAGTAATGAACTTGTTTTTCAAATTCCATTTGTTGTAGAGTACTATAGGTACATAACTAAGGGCAGAATTTATTCCCTGTATTAATATTTTTTAAAACTCCACTTACATTCAGGGTGCCTGGGTGGCTCAGTTGCTTAAGCAACTGCCTTTGGCTCAGGTCATGATCCTGGAGTCCCGGGATCGAGTCCCGCATCGGGCTCCCTGCTCGGCAGGGAGTCTGCTTCTCCCTCTGACCCTCTCCCCTCTCATGCTCTCTATCTCATTCTCTCTCTCAAATAAATACATAAAATCTTTTTAAAAAACTCCGTTTACAGTCAGAAATACAAATGTTGTAAATTAGGCACCATTTTAATTGATGACAGCAAACTTTTTTTAATGAATGTTACTGTGGTATCCTTGTTAGAAATATTGAAAGTTGACTTCTTTTTCCAAATCACTGTCACATCTTCAGTTAATATAAAATATGAATAATTTGTATGGGAAAATATTATTTCTGTAAAAGAATACAAGGTGTTTACTATTAAACGTTAGGAAGCTACTTTGACTAAGACGGAAGTAAATGTTTTAAGAGGTTCATTGAAAGGGCATTTTAATGATTAACACTAACTTTCATACACCAATCAGGCTTAGTACCTTATTTAAAGTTTAGAGGTTTCTTCTGTGTTAGTTTTCCATTAATTTTAATATTTTAAAACTCTACACATCAGGCTACAAACCAAACAACGGTGCCAAATTAAAATGAGTTATTGTTTGTGTGTTTCAGTCATTTTTTTTGATTCATTCATGTGTTTAGTGATTAAAGAGAATTTAATATATTTCAGAATTAATCACAAGGGCACTGGACACTGGTCAAAGGACAAGTGGGACCTGAAATCCAGCTTATGTTGCATTTGCCTCAGAGTGAGGCTGTGTCTGCCCAGAGTTTGGGGCAACTTTTATGAGTCTGGCCAAGTCACAGAAAAGTTGCTGTTGTTTTTTTTCTGTTTTACATAAAGAGGCATGTAGGTTCATGGCAAACTTGTTCTAAGAAAAATAAGAATGGTAAGGTCCCATGCCTCAGTTTCTTGAGGATATGTGGGGGGTGTGTGTGTGCATGTGTGCATGCGCACATGTGTGTTTCGGGGGGCATGGCGAGAGGAGAGGAGCAACTTTATGCGGAGGACATTTTAAAAGTTTTCACGAATAAAATTATTACATTAGAGATACTTTTCATATTTTACTTTATTTTTCAGAAGAGGACTGTCAGAAGGATCTGGGAAGCAAAGTTTGGCTGTGAAAAGCAAAGATCCTTTACCTACACATTTTACAAGCAATGTGCAGAAAGCCATTGATAAATATACCTGGTAAGAATGAACGCACTGCAATGCTTCTGATTGCAAAATCAAAACATGCCCATAATGAATATAGGAAGCAAAATCAGTGATTGCATTTCTAAGAGTAAAAAAAAAAAAAAAAGCAGTTTCATTTTTAGTGTAATGAAATGTTACACTGTATAAATGTTTTAAAATCAGTTTTAAGGCCGCCTGGGTGGCTCAGTCGTTAAGCATCTGCCTTCAGCTCAGGTCATGATCCTAGGGTCCTGGGATCAAGTCCCACATCGGGCTCCCTGCTCTGCGGGAAGCCTGCTTCTCCCTCTCCCACTCCCCCTGCTTGTGTTCCTGCTCTCGCTGTCTCTCTCTGTCAAATAAATAAAATCTTAAAAAAAAAAAACAAAACAGTTTTTAAAATAGGCTCCAAGAAGTAAAACCACTTCCAGTTTAATCTCTTCCCAGGAAATGGTCTTTATGGGCTTACGTTTGTCTCTGCAGTGAACTCGGGTCATCATTTACATCCAGTGGCAGCACCACGCCTGCAGGCACCCACAACTCTTGGTCTCGGTCTGGGACGCAGAGTTCTACCACTGGCTTATCAACTGAGAGGAGCTCCATTTACTCTTGGAGAGATGACGTATGTCTCAGCATCTTTTGTATAATTCCATGATTACCATTTATAATGAAGAATTGTTTTCTTACTTTTAAATCATCTTTTTACCACTTTTGAAAGCATTACCTACTGGACACATACACATACATCCCTATGAGCGTGTTTACATGTCACATCCTGGAAAAATTTAAAAATATAGAAAAGATAAGGAAAAATAAAAATCACTCATAATCTCATAACCCAGAGCCATAGCTGTTGATACTTTTGGTTTTTTCCCCACTTCCCAGCCCCTCCTCCTCCGTATGTTGTATATGATCACTTGTGTCCTATCCGAGACTGGAAATTCAGGACAGACTTTGACAATGAGCAACTTAAATACCAGAAAAAACGTGGAGAAGTAAAAATTGTACAAAATCACCGTGATTAGGGGAATTTCCCCCCAATATTCTAAATCAGATCTTTTACTTTCACCTCTCACCCTAGCAGAAGCTGTTAACTTGAACCCTATTTTTGTTCTCTGTGGGAGTGGGATTCTTAGCTGTGTGGACCTGAGTCTCCAGCTCAGGCTTTTGTTGGGCACTCTGCCAGCCGCAGGCTCCTGTCTCTTTATTCCCTCAAGTGCCCCTGAGAACAGGGACCCAGCCTTTTGTGAAGCCCGCGTGGCTGTGCAAGAAAGTCCCCTACATTACCTTGGATGCTCTGACTCCTACTCTTTTTTGGTGTGTGTGCTGGTTTCCTTTGCCGTCTTGAAAGCAGTTCGCCATTTGGAAGGCACCCATGAGTCCACTTCCTTGGATGGGGGCTTGTGTATTAGCTGGGCTTCTCACAGCAGTGGGAGGGACCCTGGAAGGAGTCAGCTCCAAACCACTCAGGCCTTTTCCAACAGGGCGGGCCTGGCTCACCTGTGATAAACGGTCCCCACCCTCACTCCAGAGTCTGCAGGTGGGAAGAAGGCTGAGGACCATAGCTTCATGAGATTCTTCCAAACCTGAGATTCTTTCAGTACACATTTTTATGTAATTCTGCGGAGAGTCTTCTGACTTTCATTTATAGAACTGAAATGACTTCAGGCCCTACAATTGCTTTTCATTTAAAAACTTAAACTTACTTTTTTGATAGGTCATATTTGCAAAAAGCAACAAAAGCCAAAAAGAGAGGAAATTGAAAGTAAACTCTTTTACTCGCCTCGGCCACCTGGCTGCCTCCCCGGAGGCAAAAATTCTTAGTTTTTACCTGATTTGCATTTTAAAAGAGATCATTCAGTTCCCCTGCTGTCTGGGAATCTGGTTTATTATCAATTTAAGAGAAGATGCAAAACAAAAAAAATATCGACTATCATTCTTTGAAAATCAATCCGGTTTGACCATCTTGGATCAGGTATATCAAAACGAATGTGCACTTTATTGCTCTGAGTCGTGGATTAGATTTTAGGTTCACACTCCCCTAAAAGCTAGGGCTCTTCATTAAAAGAAGGTAAATGGCCCTTTGTATAAAAGTCATTTTCCTTTTCAGTGATATCATCAGAGGAAAAACTAGCTGGTATTTTGCAGCTGTGCTTAAGTGTGTCACGCTCACCCATATGAGGGACTTATGTCTGTGTACATCTATGTATATATCTATATGTACATATAGATATATAGGTATGCGTACATGTGAGTATATCAATGTCTGTCAATATGTGTACCTTTACCTATATTTATATCTCCGTAAAATCTCAAATAAGTCTCATACGCATGTGGTAGAAATGATCTCTATTTAACAGTTACAGAAGCTGAGTCTCCCAGTGGGATGTAATTTCTCAGAAGAGTAAAAATTGGGCCACTGGTATGTCTGACTGCAAAGTCCACATTCTTGTTTCATGTCATATTTCTTCCTATATATAAAGGGCACTTTAAATTTGTAAGTGTTAATGATCATGAAGGCCGTCTTTCTACAACTTTTAGTCTTATAACTAAATGTGCATTTCTGTTTTAGGAGTTTGACAAGGCGAACGCAGAGAAAGTCCAGCAGTTATTCTGGGAGGTGGAGGAAATGTTATTTGAAGGGAAAGTAAGCCCTCATACTCAGAATCTAGTGGCTGAATGCAGTGAGTGGGCAAGAAGATCCCTCCATCTGAGGTAGGGAAGTTGTTCATAGTAACTCTCTGAAATACATTCTGGAACGGCCCAGTCCTGGCCTGTTTAATACAATTAGTATATTTTGACTGAAAGCAGTTGCCCAGTCAAAATATGTATCCAGAACATGTGTCTTTAGTAAGAAAGCACAGCTTTTGAAATGGTGTCTGAGGAATATTGGGACATTCCAGATACCCAAGTGCATCTTAACTTGTGAGAAGCAAATCTAGCTCATTTTCAGAAGGGCATTACATACGTAACAAATGCAAGAGTGGTAGAAGTGATCCTTTACCTTCACATTCACCGTCTTCAGAGCTGAGGACAGTACTCAGGGTTGGGGTTGGGGGAGAAACAGAGAAATTATTTGATGAATGATTGGATAGATGAATCTTCCTAACTAACCAAGATTCCTTATGTAAGAAGGATCACTTATTTTTTTTTAATCCCTCAGGGATTTTATGTATGTATGTATGTAATTATTTATTTAGTGTTATTTTTTTTAATTTATCTTTTTTCAGTAGACTCCATGCCCAGTGAGGAGCCCAATGAGGGTCTTGAACTCATGACCTTGAGATCTAAGACCTGAGCTGAAATCAAGAGTTGGACCTTTAACTGATCCAGGAGCCCCAGAATCACTTATTTTTTCATTTCAAAGTTGGAAAATATAGATTGGGTCTGAAGGAAAGCTTTTCTTCTTTCAGTGATTCAGCCAAACCCACTTAGGAGAAAAATCCATCTCCCTTATCAGAAGTTCCTCTATATTGTATCTGGGAGAATAGATTAGAGCCCTCATACAAATGTAGATGGATTTTCTGGTTACCTCAACTAGGTAACTTAAAAAAAATCTTGGCTACGTAGTCTTTAAATCTTTCTATTCAGTCCTCCATAAGCCCTCTGTCTTGACGCGTATAATAGGTCCACCCAATATTAATTGCGGATGCTTACTTTTTAGGCATGGGGCACTTACGGAAAAGCCAGGAGCTCAGATCCGCTCCTGTCCCTCTTGTCTTATTATAGTTAAGATAAAAATGAAGGAGGGGAGGGTGGAAAAAGAAAAGACTGCAAGGAGGGGCTCCTCAGTGGCTCAACGGTTAAGTGTCCGCCTTCGGCTCAGGTCATGATCCCGGGGTCCTGGGATCGAGCCCCGCATCGGGCTCCCTGCTCGGCGGGGAGTCTGCTTCTCCCTCTCCCTCTGCTGCACCCCCTGCTCATGCTCGCTCTATTTCTCTCTCTCTTGCTCTCTCTCTCAAATAAATAAATAAAATCTAAAATTAAAAAAATAAGTTTAAAAAAAGAAAAGACTGCAAGGAATATAAGCTGGGTATATATATTTGTACAGTTTTATTCATTATGTAAATATTAGTGAACATTTATAGAGAGCTCCTGTGTGCCCAGCGGTATGCTAGCTGTCTGAATCTGATACATATTATCCCTAAACCACTCACCAGTCCTCCAGGTAACTATTGTTGTATCTCATGTACAAACAAGAAACAGATGAAATCAGTGGCTTCGAGAGCCTGAGAACATTGCCTCAGATCTCTTCGTCAGTAGCGAGAACAGTCTGTCCCGCTCCCTCAAAGCCTACACTTATTCTTTGACACCATTGTGCTTCTCACAAACCAGTATATTCCTTATCACTTCATACACGTGCCTTCAAAATATTGTGTTATCTGACTTTCAGCGTTGCAAAGAATTTTTCCTTTTTCCAATCAAAAATATTAGTAAGTTCCTTTTTTTTTCTTTTTTTACCTTGCAGAGTATTAGGAAGACAGCTCATCATGCCAACTGATGAAGGGTTCCAACATTTCCAGGGCAGCGAGCCTAGTACTATAGTCCACAAACCCTTCTTAGATGCCTGTGGACACAACCGCAACAGCAGAGAGTAGGTTCCTATAAGTAACTTTTGAGAGTATTATTAATTTCATTTTAGTTATACTCTTTTTGTGTCTATCTTAGTCATGAGCCTTGGCTCCACTGGTTTGGAAGCTTAAATTTCAGTGAATGGCAGGTACAGAGCATTTTTTTCCCAAGATGCTTCTGATTCTAGATTGATGATGATGATGATGATGATGAGTGTGTACTGTAATACAGATAACAAGGAAGTTAACTTTTGAACTGTTGTTTCAAAGACTCTGAAATGTGGGCTAGATGAAAAATAAAAAAACTGACCCCTTTTGATGCATCCTAAGCTCCAACTCAATAGCAGAAGACATAAAGTTCTATCCCATTTTCTTTTTTTTTTTAAGATTTTATTTATTTGTCAGAGAGAGACACAGCGAGAAAGGGAACACAAGCAGGGGGAGCGGGAGAGGGAGAAGCAGCCTCCCCGCTGAGCAGGGAGCCCGATGCGGGGCTCGATCCCAGGACCCCGGGATCATGACCTGAGCCGAAGGCAGACGCTTAACCAATTGAGCCACCCAGGCATCCCAAAGTTCTATCCCATTTTCTTTTGATAAATCCCTGTATGCCAGTCACACATATTTGGGACTGTGCCATGACATCATTTTATTACAGCAAAGGGGATGCAAACTCATCAAGTAATTTAAGCTTTTAAGAGGCCCTTAAAAATTTTTAATGAGGGCGCCTGGGGGGCTCAGTTGGTTAGGCGACTGCCTTTGGCTCAGGTCATGATCCTGGAGTCCCTGGATCAAGTCTCGCATCGGGCTCCCTGCTCGGCGGGGAGTCTGCTTCTCCCTCTGAGCCCCCCCATGTGCTCTCTCTCATTCTCTCTCTCTCTCAAAATAAATAAAATATTTAAAAAAATTTTAATGATGCCTGTGTTAAAATGTTGCTTTTAAGGATATGATTTTATCAAATATATTAAGCAATGATTTTTTTGTTTGGGATTCTGTACTTTATGGATAATTTAAAGACTCGCCAGAATCATGCAAGCATTATAGTCTTAATGTTCTACAAACTCTCATGGAGGATCTGCTTCTCCCTGTAGATTGTGTGTCTCTGGCTCTCAAATACTCCCCGAGGTGTGCTCAGCTCCTCCCTTGCCAGGCCCCGAGGGCCCAGGGGTTGCTGGCCTAACAGCAGGCTCAGCCCAGGAAGAAGAGGTTTATGACGTGGATGGAAAGATTGAAGAATATTTTGCTTTTGACAGAAAAGAAGAGTAAGTAGAATTTATTTAACATTGACTTAGTGTAATAATATTAATTTACTTGGCATTTATTTTGATTATTTGCTCATTTAGTGTCTGTTGTACTTTTTACTTGTCCAAAAGATTTTCCATTCTTTTGAGAGTAATGTACTCCCATTACATTAGGAGGATATGTCCATGCCAGATCAGTGCTTCCCTCCCCCCTCCTTTTTTTGACAACATGGCACAGCTAGAAAACAAGAATTGTGTTCAGCATGCTGGTGAAAGTGGACGAGGCTCCTAGTGGCCTTCATTTCCTGAGGACTCCAGGCTGCCCTTCTAGAAAGACAAAGGGAAGGCCCAGTCTCTGCACTAAATACAGAGACTTAAATTGGTTCTTTGAAAAAAGCTACAAATATTGAATAATAAGAAGTTGCCTGTGATTGAAAATGGGTACATTAAAAGGTAACAATGTGCTGCTAAAAAAGAATGTTATGTTTATACACGTATAATGTACATATGCATACATATTAGAGAGAGAGATAAGTAGTTGGATAGTACTATTTTAACTTTAACCATTGATACTTTTAGTAATTACAATGGGTTTTGTTCTTAGTGATGATGAATGTCTTGAACAAAAATCAGCTCACCGCCACAGGATGTGGCGGAAACACGGACTTCCTCCCCTTTCTCCTCATGACTGTATCAAAGATGCGGTGGCTGCAGAAGTGTTTGATCACGTCTGGACAAGTGTCGTAGAGATATTGGAAGAGCTGATCAGAAAAAATTGGGAAGTTACACTCACAGGTACTTATTTGTAGCATTTGGCCCTAATGGAAAGAAAAAAAAAGACCTCTGTTGCTCAGCTTTGTGTCTCCACCCAGCTTGGCCACACCTAGGATATGATCGAGTGAGAAGAGAAGTAGGTTTTCTCCGCTTATTCATAAATGATCTTGAATCCCTTCAAAAAGGACATTATTACTATTTTGAGTTATAAAAATGGGGCGCCTGGGTGGCTCAATCGTTAAACGTGTGCCTTCGGGTCAGGTCATGATCCGAGGGTCCTGGGATGGAGCTCTGCATCGGGCTCCCTGCTCAGCGGGGAGCCTGCTTCTCCCTCTCCCGCTCCCCCTGCTGGTGTTCCCTCTCTCCCTGCTGTGTCTCTCTCTGTCAAATAAATACATAAAATCTTTAAAAAAAATGTATATGCACTTTGGAACAATAACATAGAAATGCACAAGAAAGAAGCTTAGTCACTCTAAAAATCTCTAATAATAGGATAACTTCTCTAATAATGGGAGATCGGTTTTTAATTGTTTATGACTTTATTTGTAAAGCAAAATAGAAACATAGATAATTTAATAATCACTTCATTTAACCTTATCAAATGTTCTCTTAACTACTTGAAATTGAGAAGAAACAAATCCTAGATATGTCCGTGGTAGATGTTAATGGCTAATGTTATGAAATCAGTTTGTACAATAGGGTACTGCTCATGTTAATTTAAATATATTCTTTTTCCAACCAAAGGGGTTAATTGGGTTATTATAAAATACCAAGAATTTTTCTTGCCCCAGCGTATAATCCCTAGTTCTCTACCTACCACTGAAATAATAGGCATGTGTGTGTGGAAAGCATCACATCAGCCAATGGCTCTGTGGGGGTCTCTGCTCTATGCAGGGTTCAGTGGCCATAGCAGACTCATGATAACTCAAAAACAAAGATTCTCTTTGAACAGTGAATTTTATGTATATATATATATATATATATTTGATAACATGTTTCCTAATAATATTAATTTTTTTGTTGTTGACACAGAAGGAAAGAAACAGAAAGAAAAATTGAAAGTAGCTGGGAATAAATCTCCACTGATACTCATTTCCCGTATTAACACTGATGCACCAAGTGTTCCCCCATCCAGAAGCTCTGAAGCCCGAAGCATCTCCCTGGCTCCTCATCTTAATCCACCTCAGGTAGATGCTTTTCTGCCAGTATCTTTCTTTCCTTCAGTATTTTTATCTCTGTCCTGGTGTGTCAGTGTGCTATTTTATTATCGAATATTTGGTTCTGTTTGTCAATTAGACCAAAATTTAAAAATAATCTTTTCATGGAGTATAGTAGCATCACCACATTCTATAATAGAGTAGGGACACTCAGATTTGAGACTTTCCACGTGCTTGGAGCTGTAGAGCTGTTTCCATATTTTTAAGGAGAAAAAATGCTTTTCCCCAACATTTCCAGCCAATTTGAAGGTTACAGATACTCTCCTGTCTTCCCACCTAAATGATAAAAAACAAAAGTCAATGAGAATATTTGGGTCTATTCAACATTTATTGAGTTTGCCTTAAGTGCACTGTATTAGGTGTTTTGAGGAAACATATAGATGAGCAAAGCATGGTCCCCAATCTAGTAAAAGGAAAAGCATAATACATGTCACATGCAATACATTGTGTGAGTCATGTGCAAAACAAGGCCTTAGGAGAATAAAGGAGAGAATGATTCAACCTGACTGGGGCTTGAGTCTTGATCTTTTAGGTTGGAGGTGAAAATTGAGCAGAAACATGAAGAAATGAGTAGGACTTGCATGGGTAGGAAGTCTGCATGGGTCATTTCAGGCCAAGGAGAGGCGTGGAGGAATGAAGGGGGGTGTGTTTGGAAAACAGTGATTGGGCGGACTGGGGTTAGAGGCGAGGATACTGGGACCAGCAGGGGCATTGTACCAAGACCAGGGCATTGAGAGTCAGGAATGGATGAGGGGGTTATGTTGGACATGTTGTTTAACTTTTCTAACCTTGAATATCCTTTATCTAGAGAATGATGTCCAAGATAATTGTTTTGAGGTTAGAATCATATAAATACATGAGAGTTCCTAACACAGAACCTGGTGCATGCTAAGCACTCAATACATTTTTCTCGAATTGCTTTCTTAATCAAAGATTTGGTGGAGGGTGAGGCTGGGAAGTCTGAGCTTGTTAATTTGGGTCCTTTCTCTTTTCTTTTGGGTAAGTGGCCAGTGGTTTATTGATTTTATTAATTCTTTCCAAGAACCAGCTTCTAGTTTCGTTGATCTGCTCTACTGTATTTCTGGTTTCTAATTCATTGATCTCTGCTCTAATCTTTATTATTTCTCTTCTCCTGCTTGGCTTAGGCTTTATTTGTTGTTCTTTCTCCATTTCTTTAAGGTGTAAAGTTAGCGTGTGTATTTGGGATTTTTCTATTTTTTTGAGTGAGGCTTGGACGGCTATGTATTTCTTCCTTAGGACCACCTTTGCAGTATCCCATAGGTTTTGGACCGATGTGTTTTCGTTCTCATTGGTTTCCATGAATTGTTTAAGTTCTTCTTGGTCAACCCAAACATTCTTAAGCAGGATGGTGTTTAGCTTCCAAGTGTTTGAATTCCTTCCAATTTTTTTCTTGTGATTGAGTTCCAATTTCAAAGCATTGTGGTCTGAGAATATCCAGGGAATAATCTCAATCTTTTGGTATCAGTTGAGACCTGATTTGTGACCCAGTATGGGGTCTATTCTGGAGAAAGTTCCACGTGCGTTCAAGAAGAATGAGTATTCTGTTGTTTTAGGGTGGAGTGTTCTGTATATATCTATGAAGTCCATCTGGTCCAGTGTGTCATTCAAAGCTCTTGTTTCTTTGTTGATCTTCTGCTTAGTGGATTTGTCTATTGCTGAGAGTGGAGTGTTGAGGTCTCCTACTATTAAAGTATTATTATCAATATGTTTCCTTATTTTGGTTAACAGTTGGCTTATGTAGTTGGCTCCCATGTTGGGGGCAGAGATATTTACAATCGTTAGATCTTCTTGTCGGATAGACACTTTAAGAATGATACAGTGTCCTTCTGTATCTCTTACTACAGTCTTTAGCTTAAAATCTAATTTGTCTAATATGAGAATTGCTACCCCATCTTTCTTTTTAGGTCTATTGGCGTGAAAAATTGTTCTCCATACCCTCACTTTCAGTCTAGATGTATATTTAGGTTCAAAATGAGTCTCTTGTAGACAGCATATGGATGGGTCCTGTCTTTTTATCCAATCTGCAAACCTAATTTGTGCCGTTTCATGGGAGCATTTAGGCCGTTCATGTTGAGAGTGATTATTGAAAGATATGATTTTATTGCCATCATGTTGCCTGTGAAGTCCTTGTTTCTATAGATTTGTCTCTGTAAATTTCTGTTTTATATTATTCTTGGGGGTCTTTCTTATTTTATAGAACCCCCCCCTTAATATTTCTTGCAGGGCCAGCCTGATGATCACATATTCTTTCAGTTTCTGCTGGTCTTGGAAGCTCCGTGTCTCTCCACCCATTCTGAATGATAGCCTTGCCAGATAAAGTATCCTTGGCTGCATGTCCTTCTCATTTAGTACCCTGAATATGTCTTGCCAGCCCTTTCTGGCTTGTCAGATCTCTGTGGACAAGTCTGATGTTATTCTGATGTTCCTCCCTCTGTATGTAAGAAATCTCTTCCCCCTCACTGCTTTCAAGATTGTTTCCTTGGATCTAAAATTTGCGAATTGTACAATTATATGTCAGGGTGTCGGTCTGTTCTCCTTGATCTTGGGAGGGGTCCTCTCTGCCTCCAGGACATGAATGTTTCCATCATTTCCCAGGTTAAGGAAGTTCTCAGCTACGATTTGCTCAAATATATCTTCTAGACCTCTCTCTCTCTCTCCACCCCCTTAGGGATCCCAATAATTTCTGATATTGGAACATTTCATTCTGTCACTAATCTCTCTCAGTTTGATTCCTTGGGTTTTAATTTGTTTTTCCCATACCGCTTTGATTTCTATCTTTTCTATCATCTTATCCTCTATCACACTAATTTGTTCTTCTGCCTCAGTTACACTGGCAGTCAGAGTATCCAGTTTAGAATGCATTTCGTTCATAGAATTTTTAAGTTCGGCCTGATTAGATCTCATTTCTGCCCTTAGAGATTCTATATTGTCATTAATATTTTTCTCAAGCCTAGATATCACCTTGATAATTGTTACTCTGAAGTCTATTTCTGACATCTTGCTTATATCCATACCCATTAGGTCTGTCGCAGAGGCCAGAGACTCTGAGTCTTTTCTTTGTTGGGGGTTCCTCCTCTTAGTCATTCCGTTGAGGGGTGGTTGGGGGAATGTACAGAATCCCAAGTATTAACCATGACCCAAGCAAGATGCACCTGTTTTATAGGGACCTTAGGGTTGTCATCCTCCTGTTCTTCCAGCCTGTCTTCTGGGGGAGGGGCCTGCTGCACTGTGACTCAGGCAACCAGGCTTGGGCAGAGTTGCCCTGCCCCCTGTGGGGGGAGGGGTGGAAGAGGACGGGGTATGGGCTCAGTGAACACCATTTTTTTCGGGCTTTTGTTCTCTGGTGGCTTTTCACGTCTCTTCCAAGAGTCAGAGCAGAAGTGACACATCCAAACCTCTGTCTCAGAACAGAGAGATCTCAGTCTGCTCTTCACTGAGCTCTCCAGGCCACACTGTCTCCCTTTCTGTCTGCACTGCTAAAACCCGCAACCTCTCTGGTTGTGTGCCCCTCAGCAGCTCTCCCATCACTGGAACCCAGGGTCAGGCCGTCTCTGCCCTTCATGCTTCTAAAACCGTGAGCCATCCGTGGTTCGCGTGGGCCCACGCACCTGCAGCTCCTGGATCCTGTCTGGGGGCTGCACTAAAGTCCTTTCCTGGCCCCTACCTGTCTGCGAGTCTGTGCCCTGTCCCCAGAGTGGGAGGCTTTTGCGCGCCGATGTTGTATCACCTTCCCGGCACCAGCTTCAGGGATCCCAATAATCCCTCCCCTTCTGTTTATTTTCTGACATCTGCGTGCAGAATCATGGCTCACCAATTTATACCTTGAGATCATGGGATATATTCTGTTTGTAGAGATCCAAATATATCTTCTTACATCTCAGGCTGATTTTGTGGGTGTTCAGATGGTTTGGTAGATATCCAGCTCAATTTGGGGGACCAGTTGGAATAGGGTCCCCTACTCCTCCACCATCTTTTCTATCGCCAAGGCTGAGCTTCTTCATGGGAGACCTTCAGTAATGCTAAGGAGCTTAGACTTTATGTTTCTCATAGCTCGTCTTTTGTGGAGTTAACAGAGAAAAAGGATAAGTCAGGATTCCTAGTCTTGAGGTAGATGCAGTTTAGCTAGAAGGAGTCAAGCCATGCCAAACACTACTACACACGTGCACACAGGTGCACGCCTGCAACATGAGGCAGTCAGTAGATCGTAGAGCAGATGAGAGTTTGAGCTGTAGGACTACAAGTATAGGGTCCAACGTCACAATTTATTAGCTCTGTGATCTTGAATCAGTCCCTCAAAGCCTTCGTCTCGTTATCTGTGGGATCTGTGAGTCAGGAAGCTGTGAGAAGGAAACAAAATGAGACATATAGTACAACGTGTAGTGTAGAGAAGGCACCCAGTAAGCGTTAGCTTTCGTTACAACCAGATATGAATTGTATGTTATATCCCACCATATCCTATCCTATATAGTAATTTGATGTCCTTTAGCTCATAAATGCCATGGAGTTCAGGGGGAAAGTAGCACACTTCCATAAAGTAGAGTGATACATGAACTAAATCCTAAATGATAGGTAACATTTAGTAAGGCTGCCTCGAGGCAGAGGCAAAAATATGCACCTAGCATAGGAGCAACTAAACAGACAATCTTCGCAAGATTGGAAGAACACAGAATAGTGTGTATGGTCCAGGGGACAGAAGTTTAAAATAGAAGTGTCTAATAGGATTGTTTTACTCTGTAGTGTAAGGGCTTTACAGTAAGCTTTCTTTGCTTTTGCTGTTCAAAATAAACTTTCAGAACTGCTACCATTAATTGTATTTGTTTATCATTTTAAACTGCTCAGGCAGGTCCAACAGTGTTTCCCACTTTGCATTTTCAAATATGCAGTATGAATCCCATAAAAATGGGCAGCTGATGACAACATGGAAAAGAATCCTTAAGTATTAGACAATA